TTGAGTGGGGCTCTTTTCCAGGGCCACGGGGTGGGAGGAAAAGTTTGCGGCGACAGGCGCTTCAGAGAAAGGGCTTTGCTTCCGGTCAGCCTTCTCAGCGAGCTTCAAAAATAAGGCAGCAAAGCTGAAGCGAGGAAGTGGATGTGTAAGAATTATTTATTAAGGTTGCTTTTCAAAGCCATGACGTTTTTCAGCGCTGGGTAGACATAGATAAGGGCAAGCCCCCCCCCCTCCAGTCCGTTTCAGGAGGACCAATAACCAACCCTGCTCATCAACTGTGGAATTTTTGCCCAGCTAGGAAAGCCCCATATGCCCTCATGCTAATAAATCTGACATTCCCAAATCCTTTTTAATTTCCAACACACACACACACACACACACACCCCTCCTGACTGTTTTGCCATTGATTGATTGATTGAGGGAGGGAGGGAGACCATCGTCCTGACTGTTTTGCCATTGATTGATTGAGGGAGGGAGGGAGGGAGGGAGACCATCCCTGCGATACAAGGAGATCCGCAAGCGGGATCTGAAGGCCTTAGGAATGTACCTCAACAGATGGGAAACCTTGACATCTGAGCGCTCAGCCTGGAGGCAGGCATTGCATCATGGCCTCTCCCAATTTGAAGAGACCCTTGTCCAGCAGGCCGAGGCAAAGAGGAAGTCACATAAGCAGCAAAACCAGGGAGCTGGACAGGGCACAGATTTTGGATTTGTCTCCAGTGTGGAAGGGATCATTGTCACTCTCGAATTGGCCTTCTCAGCCACATTAGATCTTTTTCGAAGACCTCTGTTCAGAGCACGTTATCATAGTCTCTCGAGACTGAAGGATTCCTAATCTAAATCTAATCTGATCGATTGATCGATTGATCGATCCATCGATCTACACATTTCTCTTCTTTCTGAAGAGTGGAGGGCAGAACTGGCCCCCTTCCAAATGCAGAGGCACCCTCCAGTCATGTCCGTTTTCAATCCCATCCTTTACTATCCCAAGTAGATGGAACTGGGTCTCGTTCCAAGCATCCACACACACAACCGAGGAGGGCCGCGGATAGCAGAGCGGCCGTCCTTCCCCCTGATCCAGAGGCAAGAAGGTTTGAACAAATGGATCCACAGGAGAAGAAAGGAGGTTCTGACTAAACATGAGGAGGACGTTTGTGGTGGTAAGAGATATTTGCAAATGGGATGGGCGACCCTCATCCAGATGGGCTGGCCCTCCCTTTCATAGGCTTGCTCTTAACAATGTCCAGTGGCATAGAGGTTCCACAGGTTCAAACGCCTTTAAAAAGATACCCAAGGGGTCAGAACCTGGATGGTGGCCCTATGATTTTGCTGCATGTGACTGTTTCCCTGCCAGGATTGGGGCAGCAGCTGTGCCCTCCGGCCCTCCAGGCAAGGGTTAGGGGAGCTGGTTCGCTTCATTGTCCACCAGCTCTTCAGGACTAGCACCCTCCTCCCCCCCAAAGAAAAAAACCAACCCGTTTTGGCTTTGCTGCAGAATCCTCTAACCTCTAATCAACCCTGACCGCTCGCCTGCGCCCCTCTTGCTCCTCGAGGCCCGCCCACTCGGCTCCCGGGGTTTCACATCCTCCGAGGGGAGATGAAACCCCCTCCTCCAGTCCTAGGGCTTGGCTTCCCAAAGGGGGCCTGGCTATGGGGGGGGTTGCCCCCAGATTTGCTTTGATCCACCCTTGTAATGAAGAGGCCACCATGTCTGCACTCCTCGCTCTGCCTGGGGGGGGGGAGACCAACGCTGCACCCCCATGGCCACTCCAGAGTGGCCAAACTGCAAAGAGGCTGCCTGCCCCCTCCTCTCTCTCACCAGCGCCAACACACCTTGGAAAGGGGATTTTGAAAACTCTCTCCCCCTGAGCATGGGTTTTCCTTCGCACATGGGTGTGATCTGAGCTGAAAGGAGGCCTGGCGAGGCAACTGCACTCCGCTGAAGCCTGAAGGAGGTTGTCTGTCATGAATCTGGGGAAGGGGGGGGCAGGAGTCTAAACTGACCCAGTTCTCTCCTGCAGGGTTGACTAAGGACTACATGGCAGGGCTGTTGTGAACCCATTTGGCCACCATTCCTACCACCAGGGTGTGGCGTGAGAGGCATTCTGGAGTCAGAGAAGGCATGACATCTAAAGAGGGAGCCCCTTCAGGCAGTGACGCCCAGCCGCAAAACGAGGCCTTGCTGAACGACTGGAGCCCCTTCCCTTCCCCCCCCCCCCAATTCCCCTCCCTGCCTTTCTGTTTACTGAAGAGCCTCGGCGGCCCCCCTGCCGGTAGTGGCGATGGTGGTGGTGGGGACGGGACGCTGAAATCCTGAATTTCCGCGTCATGCCGCGAGGACTGTCCTGCCACAGGGGATAAACCGCGGCGGCACCAGAAGTGCGGGGGGAATCTCGGCGTCGCCCTCCTTGGTCATCAACTTCTTCCTGCCATTTCTCGGATGTTATTTCCCCGCACCGGCCTTTTAATACCGACGTGGAGGAGACGGACAGTGTCTACAGGAGAGCCACTGAGGTGGTGAAAGGTCTAGCAATGAAGCCCCGGGAGGAGGAGCCGAGGACGCTCGCTCGGGATGCTTAGGAAGAGGGAGAAAGCGGCGGGCAGGGCGGGCGGTCCTTGCCGCCTGTTTCCAGGCCTGTCCCTCCCCTCCTCTCCGCCTCCTGAACCCCAAATCGTCCTGGTCCTTCTCCCACCACCACCACCACCCAGCGGCTGGGTTCTTCCTTCGGCCCCAAAGGGAGGCCAAGGGGTGGCCAGGGGCCAGGGGAAATGCCACCGCCTCGGAGAAAGAACCTCTGGGGGCCCCCCTCCCGCCTGGACAAGGCAGAGAGAGGCCTGGTGGCAGCACCAGGAGGAGGTGGGTCTTCCCCCCTTTCGTGCCCGCCACCAGGCAGAGAGGTGTTGAGAGGGGACGCCCTCCTCCAGAAGGGGCCCCAGCGAGTGAGTCTAGAGGGTGGCTGCTAGGAAGAGGCGGGGAGTCTGGCCTCACCCTGCGGCGCTGCCCTGCCTGCCCGGGGGGCCGGGGCCAGAGACCCCCACCCCCCCACCCCCCTGCCCTCCTGAGCCTCCTTCTAAGCTTTGCCATCAGCCAGAGCCTTCCTCCGGCAGCCGTAGAGGGCCAGGGCCACCACCGACCCCAGGAGCAAGGCGCAGCCCACCACAAGGCAGGTGACCACCACCCCCGTCTGGGTGCGCGTCAGGCCCCAAATCCCCCCCTCGGCTTGGCTCGTCCCGGGCCCGGGGAGGTCCGTGGCAGGTCCCAGGGATTCCGAGGCGGTCTCTGCACTGCCCGGTTCGTGATCCAGGGGCGGCTGAGCCGAGGTGGGCTGAACGGTCTCAAGCCGGTGGCTCTCCTCCTGGGAGGGAATCTCCGTCTGGCCCGGGGTGGGAGTGGCTCGGTCCGTGCTGTCGGAGGAGGAGGAGGAGGAGGGGAGGTCAAGGTCCTCGTCCGCGAGCTCCCAAAGGGGCCGCCCCCGCACCGAGGGAGGCTGGTCGCAAACGGGAGTGCTGCCCCCCAGGCGGGGCCGGTTGGCCTGCAGCCACCGCGTGAGGGCCAGGAGGGCGGCGTCGCATCGCCAGGGGTTGTCCTGCAGCTTGACCTCGTGCAGGTGGGGCAGCCGGTTGAAGATCCCGGCCGGGAGGGTCTCCAGCGAGTTGTTCTGCAGGTGAATCGTGCCCAGGTTGGGCGCCTTTTGGAAGAGGCCTCCGGGCAAGGCGCCGAGCCGGTTGTTCTGCAGGGAGACGTTCTGCAGCTGGGCCAGGCCACGGAAGGTCTCCTCGTCCAGCGTGGAGAGCTGGTTGGAGTGCAGGGACACCTCCCGCAGCGCCCGCAGGCCAGCCAAGGCAGAGGGGGCGAGGGCGCGGAGCCGGTTCCTGCTCAGGACCAGCAGCTGCAGCTCGGTCAGGTTGGCGAAGACGTGGCCGGGCAGCGTGGTCAGGAGGTTGTCGTACAGCCACAGCTCCCTCAGCTTGGGCAGGGGCCCGAAGGTCCCGGGGAGCAGCGCCTGCAGGGCGTTCCCGAAGAGCGACAGCCGGGAGAGCTCCGGCAGGTCCAGGAGGAGGCCCTCGGGAAGCGCCTCCAGCCGGTTGTGGGACAGGAAGAGCTTCTGCAGCTGGCGGTTGGCGGAGAAGAGGCCGGCGGGGAGCCGGCGGAGCCGGTTGTGGTACAGCCCCAGCTCCTGCAGGGCCGGGAGGGCTTCGAAGGCTCGCGGGGGCACCTCGGCCAGCTGGTTCTCGTACAGCCTCAGCACCTGGAGGCGCCGCAGCGGCCCAAACAGGCGGGGAGGGAGGCGGGCCAGGCGGTTCTTGGCCAGGTTGAGCTTGAGGAGGGAGGCCAGCGGGTCGAAGGTCCCCGGCGGGATGCTCTGCAGCTCGTTCCCCTGAAGCTGGAGCTCCTTGAGGTTGCTCAGCTGGGCGAAGTGAGCCGGGTGGAGGCGGGAGAGCTGGTTCCCCGACAGCAGGAGGGACTCCAGCCTGGGCAGGGCCCGGAACACCTCCGGGGGCAGCTCCCGGATCTTGTTGCTGGACAGGCTGAGGTAGCGCAGCGAGGCCAGGTGGAGGAAGGCGCCGGGGCTGAGGCGGGACAGGCTGTTCTTCTCCATCCGCAGGGCGATGAGGGCCGAGGCGTTCCCAAAGGCCGCTTCCCTCAGCTCGGCCACCTGCGTGCTGAGGACCTGGAGGCTCATGGCGTGGCTGGGCAAGGGGCGCGGCATCTCCGTGATCTCGGGGCCCGAGCACTCCACCTGGGCGGACGGAGAGCAGGAACACCCCTCGGGGCACTGGCCCCAGACCGGGCCAAGGGGCGAGGAGCCCAGGAGGAGGAGGAGAAAGAGGAACAAGGCAGCGCAGCCGTAGCCGCCGCCGCCGCCGCCGCCGCCGGGCAGCTCCATGGGGCCTGCAGGCAAAGCGAAACAGGAGTATGAAACAGGGAGGGAGCGGCTCTCCCTCGGGACGTTCCTCTGTCGTGAGGGTGGCCTCTGGGAGGCTGACAGAGGCTCCTTCCTTCCTTCCCTCCTTTCTTCCCTCCCCCTCCCCCCCCCAGGGAGCAAGGACCCTCAGGTGCGCCAAGTCCTAATGGATGAGCAAGAGCCAGGAGGGGCGAAGAGGGTTTGAGGACCTGGATACACACACGCATCCCTCGAGAAGGAAGCACCCTTGCCCGCAGGGACCAGCGGGGGAGTCCTTGCGCCTGGTCTTGAAACCAGGGCAGCTCCAGGGAGCCCCACACTCCCAGAGATCTCGGTCCCTTATGGGGCAGTCCTGCCTGGGACCTGGAGAGGCTCAGGACCGGAAGGAACAGCAAGCCAAACCTTCAGAGCCGCATCAGAAGTGGGTGCTGCTGCGTGCATGAGTGCATGGGCGCGCGCATACAGCCCAGTCACGTCCATGTGCCCCCCACCCCTCCCCAGCCTTCTTCCAGGCTTGCTTTCATCTCTGCCTCCTTGCTTCCTAGTCCCACTCCACCTCCAATCTATTGGGATGTGACGGGGGGGGGGTCACAGGAAGAGTGGCCGCATGGGGCAGTCCACCAGTCTGTGGCAGGCAGCAATCCACCAGGTCCCGATTTCACCATCACAAAAAGTGCAGTAAGGAAGAAAGTGGTGTCTGCTGAATTTCTGCCTGCCCTGATCTGCTAGAGGAGCAGCGTCTCTTCCTGGTCCCAGAAGGCCACGGCAGGAGGCGTCGCCCCCTCTGCTCTCCCTGGCAGGCGATGGATCGGAGGGGAACCCGTCGATGGTCAGCCTTGGCTGCTCCTTCACTTCCCTGACCCGACTGATATCCACTTATTATGGATTATTGTGCCAACGTTTCCTGCCATTTGCACACACACCCCAAACACAGCCACAAGAGGCAGAGAGAGAGAGAGGTGTGTGCCTGTGCGCACACCTTGCAGGAGGCTGAAGTGCTCAGAGAGTGAACTTCCTTATTCCCATACCAAGAGGAAAGAAGCCCTGAAAAAGGGAATCACGGAGGGAGCCATAGGCTCCCCAACCCAGGACTCATTGTCTGAGACCCAGCGAATGACCCAATGGGGTGCACATGAGAGCTACAGTATATGGGGAACACAGCCTCCCTCCCTCTCTCCACTCTCCAGGCACTGACACTCAGAACTCAGGCCATGGGGAGTGCTTGCTTCTCCTCCTCCTCCTCCCCTCCCCCCCGTGGCTACTCCTTTCATGCCACCTGAGCCAGTGTACCCCTACCTACACACACGCACGCACACACACACACAGAGAGAGAGAGAGAGAGAGAGAGAGAGAGAGAGAGACTATAGCATGGGGTGGATGGATTTCATGGGCTGGGAGAGTGCATGGAGAGCTCCTTGGAGCAGCCACCCTCCCCTTCCTCCCCTCCGTCCCTCCTCCTCCTCCTCCCCTCCGGGCTGGCTGGAGCCACCGCAAGTATTAGCAGCCCTTCTAGGCTGCCCACTGGCATTTGGAGGCG